ATAGCATTGTGATGCAATGAATGTGTGGATAATAACAATGGTTTATTTACATCTACAAATCTAAGAGTCAATAAAGTTAGGCCTAACAGGAACTAAAAAAGTGTTGGTTTAATTGTTTGTTAAAATGAACGGTTTATATTATTTTGATTCTAAAATATGTTGGTTGATGTGAGCCTAATTGTGTACATTTTTAGTATTGATTTAATTATATTTGTTAGGCTTACGTTCATGATTTTGATATTTTAATTGCATAATCCCTTGTTTTATCATTTAGTTATGGTTCACACTTGATTTGAATATGTTACGGTGTTTGTTAGTGTTTTTGAACAATTGTAGGTCAATTCTATGAGCAAGGAAAGTTCTAAGACAAATTTGGAATTAAAATGGACCAAAAGACGCGTACTCAACAAGTTCGACGTGTCGAGCAAAGGTTCAACGCGTCCAGAATTTCCACAATACATCCGGAACGAGGCAACGATGGTTCGACGCATCGAAGTCGCGACACCAAATTAAGAAGTCGAGTTGCGCTGAAAGTTAAAGGCGCTGAATTGCAAATTACGAAAGCGGCGTGTCAAAAAAAAAAAAAAAAAAAGAAAAGCGGCGTTCTCCAAAATTAAGAAAGGGGCGGCAATATAATTCCATAAGAGGCGCTGACTTCAAGGGTGAAATGCACCAAATTGAAACAAGTTGCAACTTTCTAAATAGAAAGAAGATTCGACAATTTTATAAAAGAAAGAATAAAATTTCAATCTCGCCCCCTACTTTGTATCAGCTATATAATCCCACCTTCTTCAACCCTAATAAGAATTCAGAAATCTTTGGAGATAAGAAGGAGATAAATCAAGAGCCACATGTTATATTGGGAATCAAGAAGAAGACTAGGGAGATTTGAGAAAATTGTCTGGTTCAATTTTATACTCTCTTTGATAATTTGTAATTCTTTTATTATATTTGCTATGTATAATTTAGTCATGCTTGGCTAAATTCAATTAGAGATTCTTGGGTAAAAATTGTTTATGAACATATGTGTCTGTGCTCTCAGATTCTTTAATATATTATTATTTGAGTTTTAAACTTGTATTGCAATAATTATGATTATATTGTTTGATGCTTGTAATTAGTGGTCAAAGTTACTTGTTTCGTTTGTTATCTTTGTGTCACATCAGACAAGTAGTTAAGGACTAAATCAACTACAACTTAAACTAATATAATGTTACAATAATAATACAAATGTAACACTGACTAACAGACATAATTTAGGGCACACACAATTGCACCTAACTGTTGCACATTGGGAAATGTTAATTTTGTTAGGAAACTTAATTCTTGATTATTGTGCATCGGGAGATGGTAGTAGTTAGAAATTTATTATGATGCATGTTCTTGTTTTATTGGGTGTTTATACCACGGGAGTGGATATTCACTAGTGTTAGGGACTACGGGAGCAACTCTATACCATATTGTATCCTCACACTCATTTGAACCCAGATTTAATATTACATTAGGTTAGGCACTATAAGATTAAACACTAGAAATCCAGGAATCTCATTCTCTCTCTATTGTTTTCATCACCCTGAATCATTGTTTTATTTTATTTATTTTATGCAACCATCCAAGTTAATCGTTAGGATTAGCTTCATAGAATAATTTAGTAGCTAGTGCTTAATACAACCACTTCCCTATTGATTGTAGTATATTTGCAAACAACTAATACCCGAAATATCGGGTAATCGATTCACAGAGAAGTGATTGTATTAAACACTAGCTACTTTTATTCATTAAAGTTAATCCTAACGATATTCTTGGATGGTTGCATTAAATAAAAAAATAAAGTAGTGATTCAGGGGTTTGAAAAAAAAATAGAGAGATTGAGATTACTGGGATTCAAGTGTTTAATCTCCTAGTACCTAACCTATTGTAATATTAAATCTGAGTTCATATGAGTGTGAGAATGCAAGGTGGTTGTTGGTCCCGATAGGGTGGTGAAAGTCTAGAGGGGGGGGGGGGGTGAATAGACTTTCAAGCTTTTTCAAATTAAATAACTCTTCGGTTACTTCAACTCTAAGTAACAAGTAAATAGAGCAAGTTTGTACTGCACAGCGGAATAATAGTAAAGAGTTATGCCCAACTAGTAAATTAAGTATGCAAGTATAAGTAAGATAGATACAAATGATATGTAAAGTGACAGAGATATCTTGAATATATAAAGGAGATGGTTCACTCAATATATAATAACAATATTCAAGATTGTAAATAAATATCGTGTCACGTCGTCCGTGTGACGAATGTTACATGCAGCATGTCAAACTTGCTTAGAGTAAATTAGTATTTAAGCTCGAGAAGTTTGAGTCACATGCATACGTGAGGACACACTAAACCCAGATGATTAAGATTAACTGTGAATAGTAAATGGGTTAGTCGGATGAGATAGATAGATATAGCAAATAATGTAAGTGCGGTATGTAAATGAGAGAGGCAATTTATAGTGGTTCGGAAGTGGCGTAATCTTCCTAGTCCACTTTTCTCCTTTCACGTCTAGGAGAAATTCACTATTTTCCACACACAGTTACAATAGTGAATAAGTGCTACACAAGCACTTCTTCCGGATGTCTTGCACACAGCTACACCCAACTCCGAGTGTCTCGCACACAGCTACACTCAACTCCGAGTATTTCGCACACAGCTATACTCAACTCCGAGTATTTCGCACACAGCTATACTCAACGCCAACTAAGTGTCTTGCACACAGCTACACTTAGCAACTACGAGTGTTTTGCACACAGCTACACTCACTAGAGTATTTTGCACACAGCTATACTCTTTCTACAATTTACAAATACAAGGATTTGTATTTCTCTCTCCAACTAGATTTGAGACTATTCAGACTAAGTCTCTTAGAATATTTTGAGCACTAGCACTTTTGAATTTTGCACTTGTATTGCACTTCTATCTCATTTTTCTCTATCTCTTCTCACTCCATTTGTCTTCAAGTCTTCATGGCTTTTTATAGTCAATCAAATATATCCGTTGGAGTGGGATAATTTGATATTTGAAATTTGAATCTTCATAGCCTGATATTGTTGACAGTAGTAGATCTTCAATTTTGATTTGATTTGTCAACTTGCCTGACAAAGTAATTTTTTAGCACAACTTTGATTTTCTAGTTGTTTCTAAAAATATTACTTTAATTGTCAATTTGAATATCCAACGAATCTTTGAAATAAATTCATCTGATAGAATTTATTTTTAGGATAAGTTTTTATATTCATGCCTTCATAAATATTTTTCCGTTCTGATCAAATGTCTTTCAGGCAATTTTGGAGTCTTGTGGCATGTGGGTGGGCTTGGAGTAAATTCCTTCGAATTTATCCAATTTCTGATCATCTTGCTCTTTTGCCACATTGTGCTCCTTTGACTTGAACATCGTGCTCCTTGACTTTGAACATTGTGCTTCTTACGATACATTGTGCTCTTCTGACAACATTGTGCTTCTTAAACAACATTGTGCTTCTTAGGTGGCATTGTGCTCTTCTGACAGCATTGTGCTTCTTAGACAACATTGTGCTTCTTAGGTGGCATTGTGCTCCTTAGCAGCATTGTGCTCCTTTCAGATTTGGTCACATTGTGCTCCTTTAGCACACACTGTGCTCTTTTGAACACATCGTGCTCCTTTAGCACACATTGTGCTCTTTTGAACACATCGTGCTCCTTTAGCACACATTGTGCTCTTTTGAACACATCGTGCTCTTTTAGCACACATCGAGCTCCTTCAAAATCTGCCTTAAAAAATATAAGTCCTTGGGGGGAATCGATCTCGAGTGTGATCGTTTAGAGTAAAAACCTCTACCATTTCACCGTTAAGCTCATCCGATCATTCTTTGCAACGCCATTGCTTTATGCTTCTTTCACGGATGAATACTCGTAGGACCAAAATTAATTTCTCAAATTAATTTTGTTCTTCCTATGGTAGATTCCTTCTGATTTCAATATTCTGATTTATGATGCTTGTACTAAAGACTTAAAAACTAAGGGGATCTAAAGATACATTTGGCTCATCAAAACTTACAAAAATATTCCTATCAGTGGTATAGAGCTACTCTCGTAGTCACTAACACTGGTGAATTTCCACTCTCGTGGCTTAAACACCCAATAAAACAAGATCAAGCATCATAAAGTCCTAACTACTACCATCTCTCGATGTGCAATAATCAAGAATTAAACTCTAAATAAATTACCATTTCTCAAGGTGCAACAATTAGGTGCAATTATGTGTGCCATAAATTATGCCCAACTCTCGTTGTGACACAAAGAAAGTAAACGAAGCAAGTAACTATGACCACTAATTACAAGCATCAAACAATAAAATCACAATTGCAACACAAGTATTAAACCCAAATAATAATATATTACAGAATCTGAGAGCTCAAGCACATAGGTTCATAAACACTTTTACCCAAGAATCTCTAATGGAATTTAGCCAAGCATATGGCTAAATTATACATAGCAGATAATAATAAATACAAATTATCAAAAAAGTACAAGAATGAACCAGACCATTTTCTAAAATCTCCCTAGTCTTCTTCTTGCTTCCCAAGATAACTTGTGGCTTTTGATTTCTCTCATTCTTGTCTCCAAAGATCTCTGAATAAATACTAGAATTGAGGAAGGTGAGATTTTATAGTAGGAATCAAGACGGGACGAAATCGTAATTTAATTTCTTAAATTAGGATTGCCACCCCTTTCATTTATTTAGAAATCTGTGATGTCCTTTTCCTATTGTAATTACATTGCTTTATTAGAGGAAGAAAATAGAAAATAGAAAGGGCATAAATGTATTTTTCTCTTCCATTCTTTCTTGTATCGTTACAACTGCCACTAAAGTATTTAAGTGGTAGTTTTCTCTTTCAATAAACAGATTTTCACCTTTACCAATTTTCTTCCTAAAGCCAACTACAGAGATGAAGTTCTTCTGCTTTCTTCTTCGCTAAACACATCTCGATATGGTATCAGAGTCGCTACGGCCAGGCTCGTACGCCGCCGCCGTCACCGGCGCGGCAACTCAGGAAGCATATGCAACAACGCCGGCAACTCAATCGCCGGTACGCGCAGCGACGACTTCGCAGAGAAGTCCAAATTTACAGAGGAGTTATGCAGTGGAGGATATGGAGAATCCATACTTCATTAGCGCGAGCGATAATCCATCCGCAACCTTGGTCAGTCCACCCCTAGCAGGGAGCTCGAACTATGCTTCATGGTGCATCTCGATGAGGATCGCTTTAGAAGTCAAAAATAAGTGGTGCCTCATCGACGGCAGTCTTCCGGCACCGAGTAGAGAGAATAACCGCTATGGAGCTTGGAGGCGCTGCAATTTGATGGTGTGCTCGTGGATATTTAGATCGGTTCATGCCTCGATCGCTCAATCCATCATGCATATAGAGAATGCAGTAGACGTCTGGGAGGATCTGAGAAAGCGTTTTGCACAGTGCGACGCCCAGAGGATCTCCGCCTTACAGATTGAGATCTACGAAGCGAAGCAAGGTAACCTCTCTGTTGGTGATTACTATACCAAATGTAGAACTTTGTGGGAACAAATGAATGCTTTAAGACCTATTCCTAGTTGTAAATGTGAACCGAAAGGTGCCTGTGACCTCATTGATGTAATTAGAAAGGAAAGGGAGATCGATCAAGTCATACGGTTTCTCCAAGGGTTAAATGACGATTATAATGGTCTGAAATCTAGTGTCCTTGTTATGGATCCATTGCCGGAAGTATATAAGGTTTTTGTTATGGCAGAAAAAGTAGAAAGGCAAATGAACAGGCAAATGAATATGTCGAATCTGACTGTGAAGTCTATGGAGATTAGTCATGCCAACTCTGTCCAAAATACCTGTGGCTCTGCAGAAGAAATAGTTGCAGCTATGAACAGCTACAATGGCAGAAGGTTCACAAATAGTGGAAGTAACAAACCAAAGTGCACCTTCTGTGGAATAATGGGACATACTGTCGACAAGTGTTACAAGAAACACGGGTATCCCCCCGGTTGGGTGCCCGGTTATAAGTCAAAAATGAAACAACAAGTTGCAGCACCGGTGATGAACAACACGGCTGACCTGGGGATCTCTAATGACCAATTCCAGAAGCTGGTTATGGCATTGCAGAATCAGATGGGACAAACTGCCAGCTCTAGTACTACGGCTGCTATCTCTTTGATTCCAAAATTTGCTGAGGATACTAATGAAGGCAGGTACCTCACCTCTCATGTTAATTCTCTTTCAGTCTATGCTTCTACTTGGATTTTAGACTCTGGTGCTACAGACCATATAGCTTGTTCTATTGATTGTTTTGATGAATATTATGATATTGAAGGGGATGAAATTAGTTTACCAACTGGCAGTCGTATTATGGTTAGAAACAGAGGCAGTGTGAAACTTGGACATAATATATTGCTGAAAGATGTCATGCATATTCCTTCATTCCAGTTTAATATTGTCTCCGTGAGTAAGTTGCTACAAGACACATCTTATAGCCTAATATTTTCTTCTGGACAGTGCATGATCCAGAAACCTCATGGGATGACGGTTGGTTTAGCTGAACAGGAAAAAGGACTCTATTTGATGAAGCTTCCAGTAGAATCTGCTACGCACCATAGACATATAGTCATGCAATGTAATAAGATTGAAATTTGGCATTGACGTTTGGGGCATTTTCCCATGAATAAGATGCATTTGTTCAAAGAAACTCAAAATTTATCTGCAATAAACAAAGCTTGTGATGTGTGTCATCTAGCCAAGCATAAGCGTTCCCCTTTCCCCATTAGTACTTCATCTTCGAATGCTTGTTTTGAGCTAATTCATGTAGATATATGGGGCCCCTTCTCGGTGTGTTCACAGAATGGAGAACGATACTTTCTGACACTAGTGGATGATTATTCCCGGTTCACATGGTTACACTTGATGAAAAGAAAGTCAGAGGTTAAGGATTTGATAAAGCAGTTTCATAGCTTTGCACTCACTCAGTTCGGGGCTCTAATTAAGGTAGTCAGAAGTGACAATGGACCAGAATTTAACTTGGCAGATTTCTATGGTGAAAAGGGCATGCTTCATCAAAGATCGTGTGTCAATACTCCTCAACAAAATGCCGTGGTTGAGAGGAAGCACCAACATATCCTCAATGTTGCTAGAACATTGCGGTTTCAATCCAAGCTTCCTCAAGATTTTTGGGGGCACTGTGTTATGCACGCTGTGTATATTATTAATCGTTTACCATCCCCGGTGATTGAAGGTTCGAGCCCTTATAAAAGGCTGTATGGTAAAGATCCTGTCCTCACTACTCTCAAAGTCTTTGGTTATCTATGTTTTGCCTCTACCTTGCCTCATTCTAGAAATAAGATGGAACCCCGAGGAAGAAAATGCATATTCATTGGCTTATCGGCACATATGAAGGGCTACATGTTATATGACTTATTTGATAAATCTGTTTTTGTGTCTCGAGATGTGGTTTTCTATGAGCAGGAATTCTCTTTTTCTGAGCAACCAAACGAGACAGTGCCACAACAATTCAGTCCTTCACTGCTGGACATTCCAACATCAACCTTAATGGACTTTGAAGATCCATACAATTCTCAAATAGACCAAAGTCAAGTTTCAGAAAGTAGTGCCACTAATACACAATTCTCTGCCTTTGAAAATCAGCTTTCATATGGTCAAAATGCTCATGATTCAACTACTGAAAATGTGTCTAATGATGAGTCAAACAATGAGGCTTCCAATCATGAGGATGATGTGATCACTGATCTCCCTCAATCCATTCCTTTGAGGCGGTCAAGCAGGGATCGACACATGCCCAAGAAATTACAGGAATATTATTGTGACATGGTTCGAAGACAGGGTTCCTCTCCTCACCTTCTGTCCAGAGTCATGTCACACGAGCATTTAAGGCCTTCTCATAAAGCTTTCACACTGTCAGTTACTGCTACAACGGAGCCTCGCACATACAACCAAGCCATTAAACAAGAATGTTGGAGAAATGCAATGAGTGAAGAAATTACAGCCCTACAAAGCAACAATACATGGCAACTCACAGACTTACCGGCTGGAAAAACACCCATAGGATGTAAGTGGGTTTACAAAGTCAAACTCAAGGCAGATGGCACTGTTGAAAGATATAAAGCTAGATTGGTGGCTAAGGGATATACGCAACAGCTAGGTGTGGATTACATCGAGACCTTATCCCCGGTGGCTAGACTAACTACCATTCAGACCTTTCTAGCTGTGGCAGCATCTAATGCGTGGCATATTCATCAATTGGACATCAATAACGCCTTTCTACATGGTGATCTAGAGGAAGAAGTTTATATGCTACTTCCCCCGGGCTTTCAAGGGGAAAAACCGAATCAAGTTTGCAAGTTGTTAAGGTCACTCTATGGGCTAAAGCAAGCGAGTCGACAGTGGAATGCGAAGCTCACTGCTGCACTTTTAAATGTTGGCTTCAAGCAGTCCACCGCTGATCCGTCCCTATTCACTAGAGGTACCAACAGCAACTATATAGCTCTTTTAGTCTACGTTGATGACATCTTAGTAGCTAGCAGTTCACTAACTCTTGTCCAAGAACTCAAAGCCATGTTGGATAAAGCTTTCAAAATAAAAGACTTGGGGATTCTAGGCTATTTTTTGGGCATTGAAGCCAAAGTCAGTGAGACCGGACTGAATTTGTGCCAAAGAAAATATGCTCTTGACATCCTAAATGACGCGGGTTTTATTGATTGCAAACCGGTGAGCACACCTATGGTTCTGGGATCCAACTTGGTACAAGAAAATGGGATGCCACTAAGTGATCCGAGTAGCTATCGCAGATTGATCGGAAGGCTCCTATATCTCACGGCTACAAGGCCGGACATTACCTATGCGGTTCATCGGCTTAGTCAGTTTGTTGGTTCCCCCACTGACATACACATGGCTGCAGCACATCGCATACTTCGTTAGATAAAGGGATCAATCGGTCAAGGCATATTTTATCCAACCGCAACTGTTCTTCTCCTCAAAGCTTTTTCGGATTCAGATTGGGCCTCATGTGCTGACACGCGAAAATCTGTTACAGGGTATTGTATATTCCTTGGCTCATCTCTCATTTCTTGGAAATCTAAGAAGCAAGCGACAGTGGCAAAGTCTTCTTCCGAGGCAGAATACCGGGCACTTGCAACTACTGTTTGTGAAATACAATGGCTTATCTCACTACTTCAAGATTTGCATGTTGGCGTGAATGACCCTGCTGCAATCTACTGTGATAACAAGTCCGCTATTGCAATTGCTGAGAACAACATTTTCCATGAGAGGACAAAGCATATTGAAATAGACTGCCATGTTGTGCGAGAAAGAATCACTCAAGGTTTGGTCAAATTGCTATCTGTCTCCACCACTAACCAAACTGCTGATGGCTTCACCAAGCCTCTTCCAACCTCTCAGTTTGAGCTCTTTGTATCTAAGCTGGGTGTTCAAAACCTACACACGCCAGCTTACGGGGGGGTATTAGAGGAAGAAAATAGAAAATAGAAAGGGCATAAATGTATTTTTCTCTTCCATTCTTTCTTGTATCGTTACAACTGCCACTAAAGTATTTAAGTGGTAGTTTTCTCTTTCAATAAACAGATTTTCACCTTTACCAATTTTCTTCCTAAAGCCAACTACAGAGATGAAGTTCTTCTTCTTTCTTCTTCGCTAAACACATCTCGATATGCTTTTTCTTTGGAATTAGAGCCAAACACTTTGATTTAAATTGCAGTACTCCCCTTTTATAATTAGCTTGCAAATTCCGCGCCGCCTGTTGTGATTAACGACGCTGCATGATGATCGACTTCGACACGTCGAAAGAATGCTCGACGCATCGAGCCAAATGTTGCAAATTTAATAGGCATACTGCTACTCGACGCGTCGAATCTTTTGGGCTCCAAACTCGTCCATTTTGGTTCCAAACTCGTTCTAAAATTTTCCTTGCTCATAGTTCAAAAACACTAACAAACACCGTAAAACATCCAAAACAAGTGTAAACCATAAATAAATGATAAAACAAAGGATTATGCAATGAAAATAACAAAATTATGGACCTAAGCCTAACAAATATAATTAAATCATTGCTAAAAATGCACAATTGGACTCACATCACTTGTGGATCGATGATCTGATACTCCGGGTATTTATTTGGTTAAAAATATGCTACAATCATTGGTGTAATTGTTTGTTAAAATGGATGGTTCATATTATTTTGATTTAAGTTTTTTTATTTTATTTTATTTTACCTTCTATCATATCATTTACTTTTTCTAAATACCATTGTATTCCGCCAATTGTAAATTATGTTTAGGGTACTATATATCCCGTGAGGCTAGTGAGGGTACTTCTCTCTAAAATTACTATTACACCAGTTAATCCAACATTTCTGCCACATGTTATTGTTATGTATTTTTTAAATATTCTTTTATGAAAAATTTGATAATCTTGCATTGATATACACAAGGATATCGAATAATACTTTGATAAATTCTGAATCACTAATTAAAAAATATACATTGGACATCTGTTGGTCCCGATAGGGTCGAAAGAGAGTCTAGAGGGGATGGGGGATAGACTCTAATCGATTTTTCAGAGCAACTCCTTTCGGAGCTATGCTGTAACACTCTCGATTTTAACCACATTTTTAAAACTTAATTTCAAAGGTAAACATCTAATCATCAAGATAAACGACAGCGGAAACTTAATTAAAATCGGAGAGATGTTATGCCACACCCATAAACCATGGGTGCACAGGCTAGTCAACAACAATCTAACAAAACAAAGAACGATTCTAAGGCACACAGGCCAACAAAGGATAAACGTCTAGCATGGGATCTATACTATCTAAGGTCCACATCTAGTGCGCTCAGCATCTACTCAAAACCTGTAAAATCAAGGGATAACACCCGGTCAGCGAATATTGCTGGTAACCCATCAATACGCGTTAAATAGCATAGTATAGATAGATATAAACAAAACCATTTGGAAACGGAATACAATATATATATATATATATATATATATATATATATATATATATATATATATATATATCATTTCAAAATCAAGGAAGGAAGTCAACATCAAAGACCATCACACTCTCAATAAGAACAAGGATCATAATCCTCACAACAACAACAAGACCACAAACATAATAGACAACACGACTCAGGATGCACCCTACCGTTCACAAGGTAGAACACATCAAGATATACTCATAAGCAAGGAAATCACAATCACACAGTGACAACTACATGTCACAAGTTCCATAGTTCCAACCTTATGCCCTGTTCCAACCTTATGGCAACCCCCGGCCTTATCACGGTTCCAACCGTTACCTCCTAGTGTCACCCTGTACTTCTGAGTCCAACCTTTTGCCTCCTATGACCGTCGTCCCCCCGCCAACATTCCTATTCACCGCCGATCTCTCAGTACATGAGGGTACCATTAAATATCATAATCACAAAACCGCCAATCTCGTGAGCAAAGCTCAAGTAACAAACCACCAATCTCAATCATAGTCACACAAGGTCATCATCATTACCAAGAAGACTAAGGCTCAACAATAGCCTTAATCAAGTATCAACAAAGGGTACAACGATTTGCATACGCTCACTTATAGGAATCAATCAAGAGATCACCATAAA